ACATGTATCAGACCAAGCCACCTAGTGAGGATTCAACCCAATCACACCATAATTTGCTAAACTAGCTTGTTAACCATTACTCTATAATGGGGCACCCAACATGTACAGTGAGAAGAATTTCTGTTTAATTCAACTTCATAGATTTTATGATTTTACTCATGATGAGTGTCACAATTTAAAAAAATATTAGAATCATCATTTATTAGTCAATTTCAAACTTAAGATGCTATACCCCAATTATTTTTAGAAAATACATTGCACAAATCATAGTACAATCATTAAACCATATAATAATTATCAATGTATATATATTTTTGTATTTCCTGTCCTATCTGTAGTGGCAAAGGAGGTAAATCAACTTGAGTTAGTAAATTTATGAATGATTATTCCCATTAGTCATTTTAATAATCTATACAAATAAAATATCTGCTTTTAGACAAAATTAATTCCTAAGCAAAATGAATTAATCCATTCCTTTACTGTGTTTCTTAGATTGCAGTCTTATTTGTTCAAGTTTTTTTATGTGAGGCACTCAGATACCTTTGTCTATTAAGTGATTGTCTTGGTCTTGAAATAAGCTTTTTTGTTGCCATTTTTCTAGTTCTGTTAATCTTTTTCTTCCAAGAAATATTTCCATTTCATTGTTGTATTAAACACATAAAATTTTTAACAGAAGATATTGAGTAAAAAGCAATTTATATAATACCACAAGTAATCAAGGAATCATACATACCATTGAAAATCTAAAAAATATAAAGGGAACGGATTAATTAAATGGTTCATTGGCGTCTATTTTAGTTGTGAATTCTTTATCTCCATTTCATTGAATCTAAATACATTATTTCAAAACTTGTTCCATTGCATCTCACTTTCTAATTGCCTACCATCATTTTTGACAGCAGAGGTACACTAGTTACTATTATAATGCAACTTTCAGTTTAATCAGATCATTGACTTACAAGTAATTTTTAATTAAGCATAAACTGGCAATAATAGTAATTAAAAAAAAAAAGCCTGTCAAAGGGAAATAACTCCACGGTTATTAACTGCTAATTATAATCATAACAAGTGATCCATCTTCATTCTTCTGTTAGCCATAGTGGCATACCGGTGATGATGCTTTAATAATAATTAGCATTTCTATAAAATGTTAAGTGTTTTGACATTGAGTGGAGGCTGCCAAAGTTGGCATTTAAGAAAGGAAAAATGTTGCTAATCATGTTTTTAGGAATCAGTTTCAATTTTTTAAAATAAGTTGCAAAATCATTTTATTGTTTATTTTAATGTGGAAATTAATTTATATCTTACTTATGGATTATTTCTAGTGTCAGATTTTCAAAAATTGTTTCCTGCTTAAATTTAATCAGAATTGAATTAGTTGTATTCAAAAAGACATGTGTCACTGTTAGTATAAAGTGCATGAAACAAAAAAAATACATAACATTTACATTTCTTTTGATTTTAAAAAATTAAGACAAAACAAAATCAAGCAGTACACAACAGACATAAGAATCAGTTGCATATCAAAATAAGCTGCCGATAGGCAAGAATTTTCATAAAAGAATTCCAAGATTTATATAGATAATAGAAATTTTAAAATCATCTGCTTTTAAATTTTCTTTACGTAAAGATCTTTATGAAAGTTTCAAAAATTAAATATATTCATGCTGGTTTGAATGAATTTTAACTTTATAAACTGAATAAAATTTAATAATTATGGCACCCAAATTTCAATTAAAATTTTGATGAAAATCTGCTGGAAGAACTAAAAGTATTATAAAAAAAAAAAAAGAAGAAAGATATTGCAAAAATTATGGTCATTATAGTTTATTAAATAGTCAAGATAGAATAAACAATCTTGCATTTTAAACATATTGCTCACATTAGGCTGAAGAATTTGTCAGAGATAGAAGAAAACAAAATGCAGAATCCATAGGAAAAGATATTTTAATCAGATGCAATCCATCAGAAAAGTTATTGAAACACATCCATATTGGTTGAAGATATCATGATATACAAAATAAAAATTTGGGGAAAGAATCAAATATGGAATAAAACTTCCAGTAATCCATTGAAATAAAAACATTTAAAGCATGTTACATTGGAAAAGGCTTAGTACTCTGATCTTGTCAAACCCGAGACAATTTTTGCTTGAAGTTTACTTACTCATGTGAAAAGTTTTGAAAATCCAAAATGAGACATTCTGAAAAGGGAGAATTGATTTTTGAGAATACTGTGGACTGCAAATTAAACTAAAAGAAAACCTCGAGTTCATACAATAGAATATTTAAATGCTTACATTAAATACTGTTTTATCAACATTCAGTGTATGTAATTTTAAAAAAAAAAGAGGTTAGTTCATTTTCTTGCTAACTACTGACATTTCAATCAGGTTGAATTATTAATATGTTTAATGAAAACAAGTGCTTTATAATTTTTTCCATTTCTGACTTTTTCCTTCAGCAATCATTTGTTGTTTTTTATTTTCTTTTAATTGAGTCAAAAAATTTTCCAGCTCATCTAAAGTCTCCGTTGACTGAACACAGGTTTCGTCTTTGCTTTTTTCCACTGACAGGCTATCAAGATTCTTATTTTTCTTCTCATCATAATTAACCTGTCCTGATTCTTCAAGAGTCTCTTTCTTTTCATCTTGAGAAATTTCTTTCTCAGAGAATTCTTCAACAACATTTTTCTCATCGTCATTCACAACCTGTTGCATAGTATCATCACAGTTTCCATTATTTATTGGGTCTGAGTCTTCGGCTTCTTCAGGTGGTGGTGGTGGTGGAGGTGGTGGCGGTGGAGGAGGAGGTGGAGTAATGTTCGGGAGTGGGGGCGGTGGGGGTGACGACTCAATCTCAACAACCGTTTGATTCAAGTCGGCATCAGTAGAACCACCAAAGACGTTTCTTACATCTAAATTATAACTATTAATGCTAAAAGAAGATGGTCCACTTTCTGGCGAGATTTTTGAGAAGGAGTCTTCTGGTAGACCTGCTTGAGAAATATCTGATTGAGATTCCAATAATTTGTTATCCAAATGAACAGCCTCAGCTTTATCTTCGATCAACCCGCTGTTTGGGGATAAATTCTTTGTACTCTTTTGCGTTTCAACAGCAAAGGCACACATTTGATCAGATTCCTTAATACTGAATTTAGATACATCACTAAATAAAGATTTCTCTTCCGCTTCAGGCAAGTGTTCTTTTAGGTCTCCAGCAGAAACCAAATTATTTTCTTGTTCCTTTTCAATATCATCAAATTTGCTTAAATGTTCTTCAAACTTTTCTTTCAAATTTGGAACATCTTCTGATGATAAACAACCTTGTAATGGTTGATACTTTTCAAGTGATATTTCCTTAGAAAGAGTCTCACCTTCCATCTTTTGTTGTTCTTTAGATATTTTATACAAATCACATGTCTTATCAGATTGCAGTGGGCTCGGACTACAATTAGATTGATATTCTTCTCGCTGACAATTATATACATTGGTTTTAATTTCTTTATTTACAGAGCTTTCATCCTTTAAACTCTCTCCATCTTTCCTAATCTGTGACTCTCCCGATCCACTATAAGAATGTCTTTCTTGTCTTTTTGCTTTGGATTGAAGGCCAGTCTTTCTCCTTGAATAACGATAACCTAAACTGGAAGATGAAGTTGAAGATGACGAGGTGCTTGAAGATGTAGAGTTGGATGAAGAAGATGAACTTGTTGACGATGACCGTAAAAAAAGGAAGAAGAGGAAGATGAAGATGATGATGAAGAAGATGATGATGAATCTGTTGAACTACTTCGACGTTTCCAGTGTTTTCCTTTCAAGTCAGTCCTCTGCACTGAGTCTTTATCAACAGACTTAGAGTCCTTTGGATTCTGATGTATTTCGGACAAGTCTGAGCACAGTTTAATCCCCGATTGTTTTTTGCCTGTCTCCACTTTCATTTGACTTTCATTTCCAATTACATTCCTTGTACTTTCTACAATGTCAGGTAGTTTGCAGTTCTGATATTTGAGATTTTCACTATGTTCTGTCGTAAAGTTATTGGAGGATGGTGAATGTTTTCTGGAACGTTTTTGCAAAGGCTCACACTCATCTCTTGAAACCTGACGGCTGCTACGCTTACGATCAAGTTTGCAGTGTGACTGCGATTTGAAGTGAAATTGATAATCAGAATCTTTTGAAAAGGAATTGTTCTCAGATATCACTTGATGTAAATGTCTTTTATTGTGAAAGTCTTTCGTCAGATGTTTTTTCTTCCTTTCGGCGTAATTCACTTGAGGAAGTAAAGGTTTTTTTGATTTTGCTGAACTGTTATAATTTGAAGATTGTATCTTTGATAATTGATAGCCTGATTCTTGCCTTTTCTCATGTGAGCTATCAACTAAGTTCTTCATACTTGCTCTGCTGTATTTATAAGCAGCTGGATGCTGCTGGTGGTTGTGTGCTGTAGAAGCCATATCGGGAGCTGTTTGGCATTTAGTAAAGTCTGGAACATCCATTCTTTTTGATTTTAAACCCACTGCCTCAAACGGACCAGGTCTTTCACAGCTTTCTTTGTTGATATATATCTCCTTGAATTCTCGTGTGTGAGGTTTAACCTTGGCCCTATTTTGATCAGTGATCCGTTGGCCTTTCATCTTGTATGCAGATGAGGTGTGGTCGTATGGATGCAATGAGGGGAGAGCATCTGGATATGGAGAGCGGCGCTTCCAGTTTGCACATACTGGTGACTTTGAACCCATGTTTTTCATATCATTTGTAGTATTCCAACATGAGCTTCCTGCAGTCGATTTGGAGCAAATCGATTCGGTTTTATAATCTCTTGGAGAAGGGTATGGTTGAACATCACGACAATTTGCTCCAAGTTCTACTGCATGGGTGGGGTCAGGTTGTAGAGAATCACAGGTTTCCAAGTAGCGTGGGTGTTTTATTTTGGAACAACTTTGTTGAGACACATTAGAATCTGAAAGGTCTTTTAAACCGAACTACGAGACCAAGATTTCTAAAAAATGTTGATGATGCTGATGAGGATGCATCTGATTAAAAAACCATCTTGGTATTTCACATCTTTTCTGAAATAGAAGAAGCAAAAGAAAATGTCACATGTGACTGAAATAAAATGAAATACAGGATAATTCTAACATTTTTTTGAAACCTTGGCAGGTTACAAATCTCTGATAATTAAGGGACATTGACGTATGTAAACATTTGAAAATTCTTATCTGAAGTTTATTTTCATTTAATTTAATTTTCTGTTCATATAACTAACAGAAAATATACCGAAAGCAAATTTTAACTTTTTTTCTCTGTGCTATTACACTGTTTCTTATGTGATAATTGTCAACAATTTATAAGCTGTGTTTATGAAGAATGGCAAAGGCATTGAGAAAAATGATGAAAGATGGCTGGAGAATCAGATCTATTTTTGAAAATGTTTTAAAACAACAGTGTCAAAAGGACAGTTATTCCTTTGACATCATTATTACTGTATACACTGTTGACTCAATTGGCAATGTTTATTTTTTTTAAAAAGTGATTAGAATTTTAATAAAACCCAAATATATGAAAGTGAATTTACATATTTTCTTTATTCTTGAAAATTGACAACAAAGATATTAAACTCTGTTTATTAGATTGTTTATTTACAAGAATAATTTTATATTTACAAGATTATAAAAATATGTTGACCAACTATAATGAAATATTTATTATTTTCCATTTTATAAAGAAATAAATATGAGAAGAGATTTTTTTTTTTTATTTATAAAAATGTCTGTTAACAGGAAAATTTAAATAAACATAATGATGAGTTACCATAATTATAAATTAAAAAAAAAATGCATTTTCCAGAGATCTTTCATTTGTTCTTGCTGCAAAATTCACAAAAATAAGTTAAGAGCATTTTTCCCCTGAACCAAACATTCTTGGAATGTTTGTCATAGGTTTATTCAAAATTTCTTTTTTCTCTGGTTATTTATAAAATGGTAAATAATAAATACTGCATTGTAGTTGGTTTACATATTTGATAATTTTGTAATTTTTTTTATAAATTTTTGAATAAAAAATTTCTTTTCAAAATTGATTTCCTTATACAATGGTAAATAAATCTTTATAAAAGGTGAATAATAAATATTGCTGATGGAGTGAAAGTATATATATATATATATATATATATATATATATATATATATATATATATATATAATAATTATACTCGGTTCTGTAGAAAAACTTAGATGGCACAATTTGCCAGTCTATCAAAACAAATTGGTATCCAAAAAAAAAAAAAAAAAAGAACTAGAAACATCCGAACAGGGCCAAAAAAAATCATCCAGTGCCTTAAATTTTCCGTCCAAAGAAAAAAACCCTAAGCGAGTAACTAAGATAAAACAGAGTGCTCTATATGCTAAGTAGAGCAAAGACAAATATTATATTATATATATATATATATATATATAGTAATGTCAAGTGAAGAACTCCTTTTGACACTGATTTTTTTTTTCTATTAAAGTTACAGTCAGAAATAGATAAATCACACACCTTACAACCTGTCGGAAATTGAGAGCAAATGAGTGGCAACATTTTTAATAAGTTAGAAGTAAAGTCTGATAATCCTTAGCTTTAAATGCTGATTCAACAGAGGACAATGTTTACATTGACCACACTTCTAATGTAGAGATCTTAATTTTGTGACACTACTTCAGAGAAGTGACCAGTAACCTTAGTTTTTAAGTTGTGCACTTAAACTACAGAATATTTTTCTTAACATATTGACTAATCTAAAAAAACAAGTATAACATCTAGATCACAAATGAATTGTCATGATATTGTCTTGAGGTCATATGTTTTAAACCAGAAGTTGACCAGGATGTGATTGCATGAAAGAGCAGAATCTAATATTTTTATAGGCCTCTAATGACACCAGGAATAATTCTTACTGATGAAGCTTCCCATCACACCACAAGGAGATATAATTCTCTGCTCAGAGAATAAGCTTTCCTTGTCACACTGCCTAAATTCAAAATTTCTTCTCACCTAAACTGTTGGATTCTGTCAGAAGCAGCTGATCTTTTGTACGAATGTCCAGTTTTGTGCGCTTTCTTCTTTTTCTCAGAGGAAACCCTTTCAAAACCTTCTAAAGAAGAATGAGGTGAGTTTTCTATATTTGTTGTGCAGTTGACACCAGAATTGCTTCTACATTTATTGCCAGGAGCAGACTGAAAAAAATAAGAAATCACATCATTTCAAATGCTTACAGCTCGATTTTATTACTTTAATATTCTATACAGAACAACCACCTCCAAAAAGAATGATATGCATATATTAAATTGACATATTTTATATTTTACATTAATAGGTTGGGGGGTGGTGGTGTTGTTGAAGAATGCAAATACATAATCATTAAAAAAAAATCAGTACTTTTCATTTCAAGAGAAATTCTGACAACTGATCTCATCCTTTGTTATTTATTCTCACAATATTTCTGCCAATCTACAGCCGTCTTCAGGTATGCTATCTGCATTAAAAGTGAGGGTTTTTTTTTTCGGATGGAGGGAGCAAGGAGTGCAAGAAAGAAAACAATAGCAAATAGAAAAAAAAAAGAAGCTTTTTTCTTTCAATTCAATTTCAGGCTGGAAAATGGATGGGCAAAAATAGTGTAGGAGCAATATAAGCCAAATAAAGAATGAGTTCAAATGTCTAAATAAATCTTGGAATGATGAAGATTCTTCTCAAAATTATAGACAATGTCAACTTTTCCTGTTCTTTGAACAATTATGGAACTATTTCCACACTTTAAGTGTGGTCTTTTCTTATTCAACCATTTTTTTCTGTTGTAGTTAGAGAAAGTGTGAGGATAAAGAAAAAGACAGCAAAGTCAATCCTTTAACCACAGGTAGAAAAATGGAAATTGTAATATTGAAAACAGAATCAATTTTTAGATATTATTTTTTAAATAAATTCTAGATTGTCTGAATTTTTTAATATTCGATGGCACTACAATAAAATCTTAATAATTTCTTCCATCAAAACAATCAAATTTACTTGAAAAGATGTTTTACTTTGTTACTGTAGCCTATGTAGTGAAGACAACGACCAGCTTCTTCATAATGTGGATCAATATGTAGAGCTCTTTTGTAATAACCCTCGGCCTCAGACAATCTGCGTTGATCTTCAAGGCTGAAAGCAAAAACAGCCAAAGAAACATTTTTAATTGGGAAATTGGTTGATGAACACCATTTGCAACCAGGTTTAGTCAAGATGGAAACTCTAGATAATTTAGTATTGAACAAATAGATTAAAAAACAATAATATTTATTTAAAAAGAAGAAAGCTTTAATATAATTTTTACTGTACAAAAATCACAGAATTTTCTTTTTTTTTTTTTTTTTTTTTTTTTTTAAAATGGTACAGTTCACCCTATACAGAGCACAGGGGGGACTCTAGGAAGAGGCACAGTTCTCACAGATCTATGTAAAAAAATTCCAGGATTTATCAAGGACAGAAACTGGCACACATGTATGCATACAAAGTGAATGGTCATCAATTTCAAAAACACAAATTTTGTGATTTATCTTTTAATAGATTAACAGCTGGTTCCAATAATTCATGTCACATGGATCAGTTGAAAGCCGTGAAGAAATTCAAGTGTTGAAGGCTAAAACACAACTAAATGCAAACCTGGTTAACTTACAGATCTTGTGTAGTATTCTACACAGTTTGGAGTTCTACTATACTTGAAAATTCTGAATTACACTAATTCTTATTACTACACATTAAAGCTGTTTAAACTACTTATGGTTTGTTAATGTCACAAAAAATTATTGACTGCTGTACTTTCCCTACGAAGTTTATTATAGTGATCTAAATTAATAGAACTACAAATAGAAATTTTCAGAAAAAGACTACACATTTTAGGTACCACTACTACTCATGGATTTTGTTGCTTGTGGCACAGAACACAATGATGTTAACATTTTTTCAGTTCATCTAGTTTAGCATTCAGCTCCTCTTCCAATTTTGATATCTCTATGGATTTGTCCTTTGCAGATCTTTGCATGGCATTGGACTTGTGAAGTTCTGAGTCTGCTCAGCTTTCTCCACATAGACGTCAGCCAACTTGAGTAAATCTTGTGTGCAACTTTCAAGAACAGATGAGAAATGCCTTAGTCATGGGAATATTCCCAGCACCTACAACTGTGGCCAAATAGTGCATAATAATGCACTGTGCAACCAGAGTCTGCGGTTTTATATTGTCAGTGACTGAGAAACCTTTCTCCATGAGAGAGTACCAGCAATCTGTGAACAACTTTCCAGTTTTTATCAGAAAATAAGAACAGTACCTATAATAAATTTAAAATTGGTAATTTTCTAACATTTTCTCAACAAGCATCTTTATAAGTAAGGTTGTAAAGCCAAAATATTTAAAATTCAATAAAATAATAGACTGCTAAAAACATTTTTTCAAATTAAAAAAAAATATGTTCATGTTGTATTTATCAAGTAATTTCTTTCAGTTCGATCCCCCTTTCTTAAACATCAGTCTATCAATAAATGACTCAACACATCAGAAAAATACTCACTCTGTACTTAAAAAATGATTTTCTGTGATATTTTAAACTAAAAGTAATATTTGTTTCAACTCAGATGAATTAAACTTTAAATCAGCTAATTTTCCTCAAATGCCATTTCAGAAAAGTATATTTCATTTTTAAAATACTTTTTAATAAAGAGAATCATGATGTGTTGACAGATCTGTCAATATGGATGAATTTATAGATTTTACTACTAATAAAATATTAAACTGAATCTATTAGCTTGGAATTAAAACTAAAATTGAAGCTTCAAAATTTTTAATTTTTTAAAATCCATTTTAAATGCATGCATCACTCTTTTTGGGATGTACTGGCCTAAAATAAAACAAAAGGTTTATCAGTTATTTTCCTGCTCTGTAGACCTTAAGGTTATGAAGAGAAAAAAAATATCAACCTGGAGTTCATTTGACATTGAAAACTGATAGATGTCAATTTATAACTTTTAAATGCATAGATGTTTGATATCCATAGAAAAAAAATTCACTTACATTTTCCCCTGTGCAACGAGAGTCTGACAAAGATATTTGCGGGCATTTTGATGACGTGGGTTTGAAGCAAAAGCATCTTCAAAATCTTCAATTGCCTTTTTATAGCTTTCATTGTTAGCATAGCTACCAAAAAAGAGAGAAGAAATAAAATCATTTGACTTTTATGACAATGTAGAAGTGAAAACTATAGAAAAATATATACCAATGGATATAAAGTTAAATATTCTTTATATTCAAATCTTAGAAAGAGCCAAGTTTCACTTGTGCTAGGAGGCAAATAAAGAAAAGAAAAAGATGCTGAATTGTAGACAACAATTAGACAACTTAAATGAAAACATTAATTTGGAGAGATAACTGATCATTGTTAGAAAATAAAATGTAATTTTTTTTTTTAACATTATTAAAGCATTTCTAAAATGATCTTGCTTGGTCTCCTCCAAGTTAATTTATAAAATACAAACTTACAGAGCTCCACGTGCTACAAGAGCCTCTACATTTCCAGAATCAATTTGGAGTGCCTTGTTAAACATCTGCATAGCTTCTATTATTTGGTTTCTCTTAAACAGGCAAATACCCTCGGCCACACTAAAATAAACAGTAAATATATATTTTTCACTTGTGAGAATAATGATAAAACAGAAAATCTAACTTTATAAAAATTAAAAGAAAAATTTCATTTCTTACATTAATTAAAAAAAATGGCCTGAATGATTCAGAAAAATGTTTGATATTTTTCACTACTGTCATTTCATTCTGTTATTCTGTTCACAAATCTAGCAAAGTTAATTAAATTGTTTCTTTTTCCAAGTCATCTAACTATTCTATTAGAAGTTAATTCTTTTAAAAAAAATGTATAATCCAAAAGTTTTTAAGTTTTACATTGTTAAAAATTTTATAACTTTAATTTGATAAATCAATCAGGGCTCCAGACCAAGGTTTTTCAACATTGTCCAAGAACTATCTCCCCTCCCTTTAATCATCCCAAAATCAAAATGTCGTTTCTTGTTTCAAGGTGGTTTAATAAGCATAATAAACACAACATTAAAATGTTTAAGAAATAAATTAAAAAAAGCTAAAATATTAAAGTCTAAAAGTGAATAATTATAAAAAAAAATAGTTTTATTTTGTTTTACAAAATTCACAACTTTATTTTTATTTATACATTTTGGTGAAGTAACCCTGAATAATTTTACAGCAAAATAAATTGATCAAAATTTACCAGCTGACAAAAGCAAATTACTGCAGTTTTTAGATGATGCTTATCAAAAGATTATATTAAAAAGATCTAACAGAATACAGACTTACTTTTTGTTAGCAATTCGCCTCGACTGTGCTAAACGGAGGGATTCAGCACATTCTGTTTCCGGAAGAGAAAATCTGAAACAGTCATATATATGGAGGAATTAGAAACTGGTTTGAAAAACTATATATATATATATATATATATATATATATATATATATATATATATATATTGTTAGTAAGTAGAGAAGAACTGTTTTGTCTTTATAATAGATATTTTGTTTTTAAAATGTTACCATTTATTTACACTATTTACATTTATATTTTGTCCATGGGGGTAGGTTGTTCTAGTTCCACATGCCATGGCCTTACCCCAGTGGACAAAATGAAAGGTTCAGATCTAAATTCCAATCACCTGAAGAAGGTCAGAGTGTACAATGGATGAAACACGAATATGACAACAAAGATAAGGACAACTGTCCAAACAATGTAAATAATTAGAATACTTCATCTAAAAAATATTGACAGTCACCATTTAGTTTGAAAAAAAATCTCTAATTGTAAACCTGTTTGTTGCTACTGATCTTATAAAATTGATGTAAAAAGTTCAAGATAAATGGAACAGAATGACCAAATATTTTTGCTTCAGTACAAACTATAAATTTTTTTCAGAAGCAACTTAACTGGAGATGTTCTATGAATAAAATATCGAGAATTTTTCAAATGGGGATAATCCAAACTGAAATATTAATCAAATAGCTTACAAATGCCCTTTTTGTAACAAGTTCACCATTCCTCTGTACTCTGATATTTTGTCATTGGTAATGAAGTATTACGAAAAGAATTATGACCTCCAAATTGGAAGTGACTTCTATTCAAAGTAAGTTGGTTTGCTAAAAAGATAGAAACTTCCAGACTGCTGACCCAGTTTTTAGACTACTTATAATAAAGAACTACAATGAAAAATTGTAAAAATTAAAAAAAAAAAAAAAATAGCTGGTAAGAACAACAGAATGATGACTTGTTTATGCCTAAGAGAATTGTATATTTTTCATTTGTACTAAAGGTTTGTATTTCAAGAACTCAGGCAAAAGCCAAAATTTTGAGTGCTGATTTTCTAAGATCTTTCACACTTGAAGACTGTTGAACAACTTCTTTCTTTCATTTATTTCCTGGTATAGTTTTTTTTTTTTTTTTTTGTAAGAAATAACTATCAATAATTGAATGTTGCAATGGAGTCATTCTGTTTGGCAATTTATGAAACTCAAGAGATTTGTTTAAGAAAAGGTTATCTTTGCTCAAATATTTGAAATCCTATACTTTAAAAAAAAAAATGTAAATAAAAGCATCAGAATAAAGATAAAAAAAAAAAACGTCTTTTTCAATGTATTTTTTCTAAAGGATAAATGACCACAAATATAGCATTCATGTTTGACTGTGGTATTAGAAATTAGACTTAGTACATTTAAATTTTGATTTTCTTCTTGCCAAATCTGATTTTATACAAAAATATTGTCTTCTAGGTTGTTTTTAAATATTGTGTTTTTCGTAATTTTTTCTTTGAAATTTCTCCTACTGATCATTCTTTCTGGGAAGATGTTTTCATATCATAAAAATGTCTTTCTGATTATCTCTCAATATATAGCCTTCAACTATTTGAAGAAACCAAGCAGTTACTATAATTTGCTAAGAAATCCAAACTCAAAATTAATTCATGTATAAACTCTGCATGATTCTAGGAAAGAGAATTAAGCTTATTTAGAAACTATTAAAGTATTTCCAAATGTAAAATGTGGTGAATTTTTCAGTTTGCTACAGTTTAATTAGTACACATATGTAGAAAAGAACCAAATCAACACAAAAATGACCTTAACTCAGGTGTGCCTGGTGCAGGTAAGACCTGTGGTCTCTTGAATAATTAGCTGTTCAGAGAAGGCAGTCTCTCAACATAGATGTCACCATTGCTAAATTTGCATGAGACTGGGGATGCTTGTCAATAAATCATAGCCAATCTGTGGCTACAGGTATATAAGGCAAACATTTTTGGTGGGTAGGTCAATTGATGCTGATGGTTGGGAGAGTACTACTTGGATTTGCAGCAGTTTGTTTTTTTTCAAAGCCACATAAAATGTTTAGTGATCGACTAACTAGATTTGGGAGGTCTATTTCTTTAAGCTGGTTGAAGTTAGTGCAGGCATTGCTAGAATTGTCTGCACTTTTATTTCTATTAATGCCCAGAAGGACATAGTTATGCTGTGTTGTAACATAATAAGCAGCACAAACATATCTAAACATGACTGCAATCATCTTAAATCATTAAAATGAAGCATTTCTATCATGGCAGTTCCATGGCTCAAATGCAAAGCCCAGAAATTTCTGCTGCAGTTAATGGGTTCATTTTGTTACTAGTTTTCCTTCCATCTTATTTCTGTAGCTTTTTATTGCAATGCTGTTTTTACATTTTATTGAAAGCCATTAAGCACGCTCAGGAATAAGCTACCTGTGCCTCCAATAAGGATTGATAAACAGCCTATACCTCCAATAAGGATTGATAAATTACCTGTACCTCCAATAATGATTTAAATTCATATCCCCTCTTCTTGGGAGCTTGTCTGTTCATGAAAGACACCAAATTTAGTTACAGACTAACCAACGAGGTAAAGTAAATCTTGCCATATAGTTCAGATCAGTGCTGCTTATTTAATGACCATAGAATGCAAAATAGTCTGAGCATTTTGATAATTAGTTTGGATGAGGCAAACACAACACCTCAGCACATTTTCTCCAATTGACCAAATCTATCATAGCTGTTGAGTTCATCTAGATTTTCAATGTCGGTAATTTGTAACATCATGGCTTGCCAGTCCCTGTTCTTTCGTCCTGTCAATGGTTACCATAAAACAAATTTTGAATGCAATTTATTCTGGATGGCACATGTCTGGCAAGCTTCATCATTCTGAATGCTATCTTATCTAGCTTGGTCAGTCAGCAAAATGATGTCAAAAATATGGAAATCAAAACTTCAGCCGCAACATCAAGATACGCTTCTTCCTAGTGACAGTAAAGTCAGTGCCACTGTATGGAAGTGAGACATGAACCACCAAAAAAACTTTCTGCAAGATGCTAGATGGATACTACACTAGAATGTTGCAAATAGCACTTGATATACAATGGCATGTCAAACTAACAAACAAGCAACTCTATGGAAAGCTAATTCCAGCCTCAAAGAAGATAGCATTTTGATAAAATGAAAGATAATAAAGAATACAATTATTTTTATGAGATCTTTATAATTTTTATTTATTATTAAGATAAAGTTCTGATTGGTCTGCCTTCAATTTAATTAAATTTTAATAATTTGAACATCATTTTCTTATTTACAGAACTTACATTGTTTGGACTCTTGTTCTCATCTTTGTCATCACAGTCACAATATTTCAGCTGTTTTGTACTATGGCCTTCGTCAGGTGATTGGAATTTTGAACCAAACCCTTTATTTCATCCACCAAAGACACACGGCCTAGTGGATAAAAGTGTTGTTTGAAGTAATCCAGTGACTTGACCCAAAGAGTTGGGAGTTCAATACCTGGTCAAAGCAGAGGTGAATAAAAAACTTGGAGAGTTAAGTTACTAAAGGGAAATAACTGAAACAGAAAGTGAGATATCCGGAAGAGGTATGGCATGTGGAACTAAAATATATCCTGATGGACAAAATAAAGGGTTCGGTTCAAAATTCCAATCACCTGAACAAGGCCAGAGCATGCAACGACCAAAACATGAATATGACAACAAAGATGAGGACAACAGTCTGAACAATGTGAATAGTTACAATACCTCATCTCAGAAATATAGACAGATCATTTTCTTAAAATCTGGTTTTAATTATTTCAGTTTTTTTCTTCTTGCTGTCTCAACATTTCAAAGTATCTAAGAAAATATCATTTTTGGATTGTACAAAAATCTCTACTGATGAATTCTCTCACAGAGTCCAGCAGGAAGGATAAATAACGTTTTACATTTGTTCATGTAAGACTGTGATATCCTAACCATTATATTTCTGCTGTGAATTTTTTAATACTTTTTGTTAATAAGGCTGGGAATATTATGACAATAAAAACCATGAACAACTTGTAGAATATTTGCCCTGCTTCCCTAACTTGTATTTTTTACTCTACAACCCCTTTTCCATAGATAAAAACATTGCAGGCATCTTGCTACTCCATCATTATTTCCATGGTAAATATTCTGATGAACTATATTCTTTAGTTCTATCCATTAACTAAGATCCATCATGATATGTACAATGGGATGAATTATCCCCTTTATATTCCATTAGTAGGAAACAATTTCCATTTAGACAGCACCTTACCAAGAACTGATACTTTGTGAAAGAGACTCCCATGAGGATGCTTCCCCATTCACTACAATCTCTTCAAATCTAGGATTAACTGTTATCTTTCCCACATATGCTTATAAACTGCACTTCTTAATCTAATACAACAAGCTCACTTTGTAACCCTCTACCTTGAGTGGCTCTTAGGCTTTGTATTAGAAAAAAATGTGCTAAAATATTGAAATGTTAAGCTAATGAGTTCATTTCATTGGGTATCTAATAAAATCATCGGATGCTGTGTAATATGTGCATAAATTGATTTAGCCAGAACATTCAGGTTTTTTTTGTCAACCACCAATAAAGGTTAATTATAATTATTGATTATAAGATATTGACATATATTAATAAGTTTAATTTTACTATTTTTAGATAAGGAATTATCATTATATGCTTTTCTATTTGGACTGGTATACGAGTTCAAGCAAGACCTTATGTATAGTTTGTTCCTTTAATATAACAATCTGCAGTTATCTGAGCTTAATTTAGGTAAAAATAAACAAAGAGTTGAATACTTTTCTTTTCTCTTATTTTTTAGGGAAAATTTGAGATAGGCTGTAAAATTAAACCTCTCCATCATTTTAAGAACTTAGTTTGGATTTGTAACATATTTCAGTTTCTGTGTTTTTAAAAGGCATAGTAGTTTTCAGTTGGATTTTTTACATTTTTTTTTCATCAATATAAAACAGATTTTTGCTACTTCAATATCTATCCTAATTGAAGTTGATACCCTTTTACAGATGATTTAAATGTTTTAAAATTGATTTGGTGAGTGTGAGAAATTAGCCTTGTGTATATTTTTCCTTTTCATAACTGATGCCTGTAATCACATGTTAACAACCCAATAAAATACTTCTAACCCATTTATTATACACATACTCTGTATTAAGTGTCAAGAATTAAAGATATATAAACAGAGAGAATAACATTCTAAAAATTTATTATCTGGTAACAGTTTGAAGATTTTTTTCCGCATGAATTGTAGAAAAATTCACAAGTGCCATATAAGCAAATATCTTTGTTGAAAAATGTATGCATGATGATAGACAAGCAGGTGAAAATAAACTATAATGAAGGCAGATATTCTCAAACATATAGCCCATTGTAGACGATCAGTTTTTTAAGCTGAAATAAAACATGTACGACAGGTTAAATTATAAGTGATGAACTTACTTGTGTAAACCTTTTGTCATTGATCCTGTATCAAGAGGATGATTGAGTAACTGAAGAAGATATGGAATACTGCCAGAATTGTTGAAGCCAATCACCGTATGAAGAAGTTCTTCATAAGTCAAACCTCGGTAATAAACTTTACGTCTAGAATAAAAGAAAAAAATAGTTGTAGCTGAGCAATAAATTAAAAATTATCAATTTAAATTTGATAGTAATATAAAAAAAAAAAAAAAAAAAGAATGAATCAAATTCATACTTAATTTTTACAAATTCATGGCAAAATTTTGCTCTTCGAAGACTAAAGACATTATTGTAATGGCTTAGTTATGTGAATTTTTTTTTTAACTAAAAGGAACCGAAACACCATGAGGTGGTTTGTACTCAGCACCAGCAGTTTAGCTATGACAGAATTCAAAATTGTTTACGCTATCTTTCATTTGTATGACAAAACTTTGTTCAGGTGGTGGCAAGTTTGGACCTTTGTGCTCATATCCTACCATCCTGACAGAGTCACTAAACAAGCAATCGACCTCACATTGTATTTTGCTGTTTTTCTTTTGAAGATGGCTTATTGGTATTGGCCGAAGTTGTCAAAGTCGGGGTATGCTCACAAGGGGGTAAAAGTTGGGGAAAGATTCACTTGGACACACCAAAGATAACAACAGCCAGTGTTTGCAGGGAGAATCCACTTTTATTTTTCCAACAACAGTTCTGGTGGGGTGGCGGTGCATATAACACTGTGGCTTAACATGGCAACCAACACACACACTGTACCAGCCTGACTACAATTTTTGTACAAAAGAAGAACGCCCGCTTCTTCTCACAAGTTTTCTCCTATATCTGTAGCCACACTACCTAAACAATGGAATGTCCGATCTTTGTATCATCTGCATACATGTCGATTAAGATAAACAACAGTATTATTTACTCAACACTACTTAAATTAAATAGGTGACCTAATGACAGTAAGTCTCATCCCAGACAGCCAGACAGTCATACAGTGTGTTACATCCACAAAAAAAGAGTGTCAAAGGACAATTTTTCCCTTGACACTTATTTTAATTATCTTCATTCCTCATCAATGTTTATTGTTTTAAAAAGTGATGATTAGAATTGTAATAAAACCAAAACATGAAAGTGAATTTATATATTTTCTTTGTTCTTGAGAACTGACAACAAAAATAATAAATGTTATTTATTTATTAGATTGTTTATTTGAATGGTTAGCAAAACATCAGTTAATTTCCAATTGATTCAAATTTTATAAAATGGTAAATAATAATGATTTACTTATAGTTGTTTCACATATTTTAATAATTTAGTAAATGTTTATAAATTTATGAATAAAAAATTGTTTTCTTATTTCTTTATAAATTGGTAAATGATAAATACTGCATTGCATTAGTTTAAATTGTATTAGTTTTTAGAATGTTTTTAAATATAAAATCATTCTAATAAATAAATATTGTTTAATATTTTTGTTGTAAATTCTCAAGAACAAAAAAAAAATGTATAAATTCATGTTTAAGTTTTATTACAATTCTAATCACCTTTTAAAACAAACATTGCCAAGGAGTCTAAATATTAGCAGTGTCAATGGAAAAAGCATCCTTTTAACATGACATTTTTTTGTGGACACAAAAATTCCAAGTTTGCTGTTCAGCCTTTGTACTGATATCTTCTTTAAACTACATGATTTTGTATGTAACAAAATTTATTTTTATCTTAAGTTTTTTTATTCAAGTTTTTTTTTTATTTCTTTAATTCCTTATTATTCATTTTTTATTAACTCCATTTCTTATATCTTCATTTAAAATCTCCTTTTCACTTGAAAACATTTTACACACAAAATATTTTGACAATGTAAGTGACATGATATTAGATTCATTTCAATCAGGATCTCATATTAGTCATTTATAGAAAATCATTTCATCAACTTTAAATATAAAGTTGAAAAGGTTTAAATAGTTCAGAAGTAAATATAAAGTGTAGAACTCTCAAACTCTTCAGACTTAGGTTATCCAAGTGTAAAATGTGAATAGTTGTCCTAACATGAAATTCTTAGATAAAACGATACTGGGAAATATATTCTTCAGGATAAGTAAAATTTCTCTTCTCCTACAAATATAATAAACAATCATAGAAGAAACATTGGTATAGTTTTAAGTTCATCCAGATATATGTTTTGTAAAGCATCTGACATGCCTTACTAACAAGTTGTTTTTATAAAATCATCTTTATAAATAAGATAGCTAACCTGTAATGTACTGGCACATCTTCATCTGTAATCAGACCCTGGCAAGGAAAAGATACATGAAATAACAGAAACAAATTTAGAAAAATACTAACAAGTTCAACAAAAATTTAAGAGCATCAATATAAAATGAATGCTCATCTGTAGGTGTTACAAGAGTGATAAATATATATGGTTGTTCCTTGTCATGGTAGACAGCTTGCGTGTTCCAACTCCTGCATGGCAACCCAGGGTGGTATGGTCAAGGAGGAGGGACCAGACTGAATGTGGCCAACACCCAAATACCCCAACAGCAGAATATGCAAAGATCAACACAATCTTATTGGCCAACCCATCAGAAGAGGGCAGCACCAGTCAGGCTGGTGTAATCAGGGCAGACTTCGACAGACCAAGATCTGACAGCCCGATGCAACCATGTTTGCCAGATCTTGCTCAATCCTCTTTGAGACGCAAGGGTGGCGCTCTTGTCAAGTGTGTGTGCTTCTCCGTTGTGCAGAGTTATCAACCAAAATCAAATTTATGCAAAAGGCCTCGTCAAATTCTCTTTGATTCACCACCATCTCTGCCACCAGGAGGTGGGAGGGAAATTGGGAGAGAGGATGATGGTCCCAATGCTCAGATGTGAATGTGTGCCGATGACAAGAGTTAATCGATAAGTATGTAAACTGACATGGTTATTAGCTGAAATTTGATCTAAAATTTTCACTATATAATATTCAATCAATATGATTAATTGAAAAGTATTAAGTGCATTGACAAGAAAGGAGATTATATCTGTTTTTTGTCATTAAGCTATAGACATTAATTATTTTAATTGTAATATAAAACACTCAATACATTTACATGAGTATTGTAACTGAAAATATTCATGCCAACTGGATGGTTTCAAGAGATACAAGACAATTCCCCCTCACTGACCCTTAAAACAAGAAAAATTAATAATTCCAAAGGACAGCAAACATTCAAGAATGCCAATGTATATCTTATCTAAAATATAATGAAATTTTTTTTTTTTAAAAAACATGGAAATGTGTGCAAATGATTGCCAAATCTTGTTAAAAAATAAATTTAGACAAGAATTGGTTAATAATAAATGCAAGCTGAGATGTTTTACTGTATTTTGAAAAGCTATGGAGATATGTGCTTCCCCTTTTATGCATGTCATCTACAATGTTTCTGCCCAGAAACTCTTGTAACCATTTTCAGATAAAAGCATCAATGAATAAGAATCAACACACATGCTCAGCTGAAATCATTTGATTGGCAGGTCAAGTGTATGGAAGCCATTAATCAAGATAGAACAAACAATAAATTTGAGGGCCTCAAAGTATGACTCAAAAAGTGAGAGAGCAGGTAAAATTCACCTAATTTATGGAAAGGTCATGGGTTCCACAAGTAGGTCACAGGAGAACAGTCCTAAGAGAGTAGGGGGTAGGGATATAGAATACGATATGCAGAGAGTCAGGTTGGAAGACATGCTCCCTTAAAGATTGTAAAACATAACAGACAACCAAAGAAGCACAATGGAATTACAAACAGACATTTAGTATTTTCTGACCGAGTGATATGTGTTATATCTGGAAGTAGACAGTGTTAGGATTTCAGAATTGACTTAATTTTGTCCTAACTCCAAGTATTTGTCAAGTTATGATTGCTTAAAGTTAATCAGAACTTGCACATTTAATCATTTAATTTTAGATGATCACTTCTGGGAAGTTGGTTTTTCTGATTCTTTTTGTTAGTAAATGACTGATAGGTTTAACTTAAGACTCTTTATCAAAAATGACCTATATCAAGTAGATTTTGAAGCCTTACAATACAAAATTCAGTCAAATGAACACAATTTTTGCCATGCTTTGCCAGCTTTTTTTTTGTTTGTCTCTGATCACTAAACTTTGAATAACACAAAAAAAAATGCTCAACAAAAATGTTTTTCTTCATTTTTTTTAGCGTAAGTTCCAAAATATTAAACCAATTTAAATTATTCCCAGGAAGATATTTAAAACATATTCAGTCCTTTTCATATGTTAAATTTATCTTAATCCACTTTTGGATGGCATATGTTGGGCACCAAATATCAGTTTTCGACATAACCTTCCTTGGATCTATTAGAAAATTAAGATCTAGACCTCTATTTGAATGGTTTTGAGAGGGTGCTGAATATATTTTTGTCACGGAAAATCCCCAAATTTAAGATCTTTTGGGAATTTAGGCTCTTAATTGAAGTCCAGGGTTTTAATTAAAAATGAGAAAGTTTTGTCTTAATTTCCCTTTCAAGTACAGTGTAACCTGGATATAAGAGAAACCCGGATTTAAGAGAGATTTTCTCTGGTCCCAAATTAGAGCCTGTGTTAATGTATATAAATTAGACCAAACCCGGATATAAGAGACTTCTTCTCTGGTCCCGACAACTCTCTTATATCCGTGTTACACTGTACAAATAACAATAATACAGTTACATAATTGAGCTGAAAATCATTGAAGGAGCTCAAAAATCAATCATGGCATCTTGTCTCTGTTGTGTGAACCCACTTCGGGAGGTAAGCCCGGGGGTGCAGTCAAAAGATGACAATGAAGCACAACAAAAAAATTCATTCCACTGAATCAAAACATACTAGAAGGTAAAACATTTATAATAAGTATAATAAGAAGAGTTTAAATTAACTTACCAATTTTAGATAAGGAGAATTTTGCCTATCCATGTGTTTATCAAGTAAAGAAATCAAAATCTTCTTATTTTCACGATTAACATTAAGAACTATTCCTGAAATCAATACAAAAGAGGTTGCTGGAAAGATTCTTTTAACAAAAAAAAAAAAAAAAAAGGTTTTCTTTTACAAAAATATGCATCATAAAAAAAAGAACAAGGAATTTTTTTTTCAGTTTTACACTGTCAATAAGCACAATTGCAATATTAAACAGAAGTGAATAAATGGTACAGAACTGATAAATAAATCAATACCAAACTTTTTAAAACTCAGATTTGACATTTAATAAAAAGATTTATTCATTGATGGGAGGAGGTGGGGCAGTACATTCACAATACCTTAAGATTAAACCATTATCACAAAATGAAAACACAAATCCAGTTCTCAAAAATTTGATGTTTATTTCACTTAGATTTCCTAGTCAAACCTAGGTATGAATCCTCTTCTTCTCCCCTCAGCTATGGGTAAATAGCAGGACAGACGGGGTTCTATAGTCTTGGATGGCAATTAGTCTACTGCAGAAAGAAATGGCAACCTAATGTGGGAAAAAATTTGCCTTGTCAGTCATGTATTGAAATATACACAATCACCTAAGCGTGTATCACGCATGGCACAAAACTGACTGAGTCAGACCTAGCATTCTCTCTGGTAGTAGGTAGATGACATATAGGTCCCTTCACTTCTTCCTCTTACTTCAGCTGAGTGACTGCCACCAACATGACTGGTTGGATGGACAGCTCTGTCTAGCCCTAACTGGGAGTCTACTTATATAGGGCTGTCACTTGATACACTTTTTCATTTATTTATAATTTTCTTCCCCTTCATTCAAATTCAAGACTAGTGATTCTCAATGTGGCTTCTTAGGCCCAAAAATCATCCTGAGAAATATTTTATATGGGCATGGAGACACCTGGAGCAATGTAGTCATTAGTCAGGATTTATATTTTCTACTTCATAAAGTATCTTCATCTTATGGGTTATTATTCAGAACAAACAAGGAGGAAGCCACTTCTTAAATCAATTTCAACAAAAAATACAATATGGAACTGTGATGATGGAAATACCTTTACATGAATGTCAAAATCTTTTCAAATTAGTAATCATTTGCTTAATTTTCAAATAGCAGATACCTCGCTAAGAGTTTAAATTGCTTGCAACCCACTATCAAACTTTTCAAATGCTTTGAGAGGAACAATTTCAAGCACTGGTCATCGTCGTTTTAAGCTTCTGGAGTGTGTGGAGAAGATCAATCCATTCTTCAAGAGATATCTCTCAATATTCACTGATGATGATTTAAGAAAGAAAACAATACAAGCTTTTCATGGATGGTGGAACTTCAACTCTATTATACTTTACAGATGAAAAAAAAAAAAAGACAAAAAACTCAAGGAAAGTAGGTGCCATGTATTGTAACTCTTACCATCATTTTGCATCATGAAATAAGAAAAATATCCAGAAAACCTTTTACAAATGAATATTTAATGTTTTCAATGCAATCTGATAAGACACCCTACAAGTAAAGATATTAAATCTAATAAATTCAGTGTTTAAAACGGTAAAATTTGGTGGACAGGGCAGATTTTAAAATTGGTCCTGTCCACCAAATTTTAATTTGCATAATGGTAAATATACAAGACAATTTGGAAAAGTTCAATTTGACATGTTTTGTCAATGAACTGGGATCATTAGAAAAATACTTTTATTTTACAAAAAGAAAATCAACATTGGTTAAATAAAAGATAATTTACATTAAATGAATGAATGCTTTGTTTTTACTTCAACTCTTGTTACAGAAATTAGATTTTAACTAATTTCAATGGCTTTTTCATTTTTATTTATTTTTATATTTTCTCAAGGTTTACACATTCACACTGCTTCTGTACTAATTTAGTAAGAACTGGTAATAAACTGAAATAACGTCGTATATTAATCTCGGGATTTATATATCATAAAACTTTCAATGTATCTTCAGTGTAAATTATATTAATTTTTTTCATTAAAATAGCATTTTTCAAATGAAAACTCATTTCAAAGGTTTCAGTGGCATATAAATGCACTGAGTGTGTTGTATATTTCCAGGTCCCTTTTATATTGTATATTGTTGGAACTTTGAAATTTTACAAAAAATAAATAAATAAAAATACATTTTCAAATTCCCTCTACAACTACAATTTCATCAAGTCTAAAAATAGACACATAAAAGCTGACTTGGTGTCACCCCATGTTGACGTTCCCATGTTGACACACCACATGACTTTTTTCAACCAATGGAACACAACAAATAATTTTAAGTTTTGGCTTTTCTGAATTTCATTTGAAGGTCTTGGAATCCATTTACACTAAGTCCAGCCATTTCTTTGGAATCCATTTACACTAAGTCCAGCCATTTCTTTGGAATCCATTTACACTAAGTCCAGCCATTTCTTTGGAATCCATTTACACTAAGTCCAGCCATTTCTTTGGAATCCATTTACACTAAGTCCAGCCATTTCTTTGGAATCCATTTACACTAAGTCCAGCCATTTCTTTGGAATCCATTTACACTAAGTCCAGCCATTTCTTTGGAATCCATTTACACTAAGTCCAGCCATTTCTTTGGAATCCATTTACACTAAGTCCAGCCATTTCTTTGGAATCCATTTACACTAAGTCCAGCCATTTCTTTGGAATCTAAGTCCAGCCATTTCTTTGGAATCCATTTACACTAAGTCCAGCCATTTCTTTGGAATCCATTTACACTAAGTCCAGCCATTTCTTTGGAATCCATTTACACTAAGTCCAGCCATTTCTTTGGAATCCATTTACACTAAGTCCAGCCATTTCTTTGGAATCCATTTACACTAAGTCCAGCCATTTCTTTGGAATCCATTTACACTAAGTCCAGCCATTTCTTTGGAATCCATTTACACTAAGTCCAGCCATTTCTTTGGAATCCATTTACACTAAGTCCAGCCATTTCTTTGGAATCCATTTACACTAAGTCCAGCCATTTCTTTGGAATCCATTTACACTAAGTCCAGCCATTTCTTTGGAATCCATTTACACTAAGTCCAGCCATTTCTTTGGAATCCATTTACACTAAGTCCAGCCATTTCTTTGGAATCCATTTACACTAAGTCCAGCAATTTCTTTGGAATCCATTTACACTAAGTCCAGCCATTTCTTTGGAATCCATTTACACTAAGTCCAGCCATTTCTTTGGAATCCATTTACACTGGTTTCTTTTGGAATCCATTTTACACTAAGAGATTTCTTTGGAACCATTTAAACTAAGGTTTGGAATCCATTTACACTGTTTTGAAGCAAAAGAGCAGTTGGCTTAAATATAATTTGCTTGTAATTGCTAGATATATACAACATTTGGTCCTTGGTGTTCATTTAGTTGCCTTGCACATTTCTCATACTCAATTGGTCTCTGATGAGAGAAGACTGATAAACTGGTTTAGCTGCTGTTTTGTTAATCATGTTTGTATTTTGGTATTACTACTTTACAGTAATGTTATTTTTTCTTCTTGTCTTAACATATCTGTTTTTATTGCTTTAATATGTGTGTGTGTGTGTGTGTGTGTGCTTATGCCTTAATATTTTTTTTGCTTGATTTACAAATATGGTACCTTATAGGTAATATAAAAATAAACCAAGCAAAAATTATGACTATTTAGCTACATGGATATATATAAATTTTTGAATAGGAATAAATTTTTTTAAAATTCTAACAATTATCAATTTTTATGCATATGCCAAAAATCTTTTACTGATTTTCAAATTTGAATGTGACTCACATACTAGGTTATACGAAAGAGGAATAACCCACTTATAGGTTTTACTCTTTAAGGAGAAAAAAATTTACAGTGACTTATACACGTTACAAATTTTTTTTCTGCTTCTAAAATAAATTATTTTAATATGACTTATAATCTCCTGGAAAATATAACTACTTATAATTTTGTAGTTAAGGTGTCAAAATACATGTTTTTTTTTTTTTTTTTCGTTTTTTTGCATAGCTACGTATATAATAAAAAGTTTACTAATTAAAAAAAAACAAACATTTATCTCACTTGTTCAGGAGTGAGATTTGTATTCTAACGGATTTTTTCGGTTGATTTCTTCATGAAGTCTAAATTTGTCAAAATAGGGAATTCAAATTTTGTATTATCACGCCAAAATAAAAACATTCTTTCCTTTCTTTTCTCTCAAGCAACCATTAACATTTCCTGTATTAAAACAATTTACGCAACAATATTCAATTTTATAGATTTCAAATTTTGCAATAACTGCAAAATAAAGATAGGATTTTTCTCTGGACTGATTAGGCAAAAATCACTTTTCAGATGTTTATTCAAGGCAACATTAACAAATGAGAAAAATATTATTTTTCCCTTCTATTAAGTTAAAAGTAAATATGTTAAAATAAAATTAGTTGACAGAAATTATCATTTTAATGTCAGCAGAGCAGAGTAAATTTTCATATCTCACTCTATATATATCTGTATGTGTGTGTATATATATATATATATATATATATATATATATATATATATATCACTTTAGCTATATATATTCATATGTTACATTATTTATAATATATATGTATTACTAAATGCCTGTTACAACTGTTTTAACTTATTAATGACCACTGTCCCATTTTTGGGATAGTGTACATTAATGGGCTATAAATAGAAACCTATACACGATTTTTATAAACCTATAATTAATAATGGATTTTTTTTTTTTTTAGAAAATGATAATACTGGCTTTTTATTTTAATTTCTGTAATTAATCCAATATTTTATGGCTCACAATAATGGCTTAATAAAAGAGTGTTGTTTCTTGTATTTTTTAATTAGAAACTTAGGAAAGAGGCTTTCATATTTTAGGTAGATCACAAAAGTCTAATGAAAGAAGAAATAATTACTCACCTCTAACTTTATCATTCACTTGAAATGCTTCAATTGGATTTGCATAATTATAATGTCTTGGGAGTTCTTTACATGGACAAAATGCCTAAAAAAATTGTAAAGTAAGCTAACTTGTTCAAAAAGTAATAGAATTCAAATAATAGTTATGACAATTTTATGAAATACAGAAATATGAAATATTGACAATACATAAAAAAAATACAAAACTGCTTTACAACTTAAAACAACACATTGTCTATAAATTAGTTTTTATGATTTTAGAGAATGCTCTGAACTGAAGTCATTATATCTATAAGTTGCAGGAAATATAAGAATAAACAATGTTTTATATAATAACAGTTTTTGTAACTCTATACTAAAAATAACTAATTATATTGGCTTCCAATCACCAAATATTTTATAAGGGGCTGTTAAAAGTTCTTGACCTGATCAAGAACATCATAAAAACATTCTGTTTTGGTTATTTGGTCAGATTTTAGCAAGTGGACCATGCCAAAAAGCTTTCAGCACAAAGTCATAGTTATAGCAAAGAGATTTCTTATATAATTGAGCATATGCTTTTCTAAATACTTTGACAAAAAAAAAATATGCACCCAATTTTATGAATACAGCAAATGAACCAAGCCAAATAAAACTAGTTTCATTGAGTAAGTTTGCTAATTTGAAAACTTCATGGATATCAATCCTCTATGATTTTATGTTTTTTTTTTTTCAATTCTGTCTCTGCCCTCATTTAGTTTTTGGGAAATTAGTATCTTAAGAAATCTGTAGACAAAGCCTAAAGACAATAAAAATAGAAAACTAACAATAAAAAATATATATCATGGGTGTAATATCTATGACAGTAAAATAGAAAATCCTGGAAAAAGATATTCAATAATAGTTTAAAGTTTTAGAGAACACCTGTCTGGAAATAAGATGAGTTTCAACAAATTAGGTACCTCCACTAATTTGTGATACCTAAAATTTAAAATGAACTTTTAAAAATGAAAAAAACTTTTTAAAATAAAAAAAATTTACTATTTTTAGTAAGCATATTACTCTGGTGAATTTCAAACAGAAAATTGATTAATTTTTAATTTTTTTTTTTTAGCTAATTAATATTGTTTTTCATTGTAATGTAATTTCTTTATTAAAAAAACCTTCCAAAAATAAAATACTTTTGAAACTTTATTTGAGGAATATTGATTTTATTTTCTGATTTGAAACAAAATTTTTTTTTAAGTTCTAAAATAGCAAATGCATTTTAAAACCAAACAGTAACTGTGTTTTTTTTTAGCTATGTTTTGACATTGATAATGTAATTGTCTTTGGCGAAAACAAAAAAACCAAAATTCCGAGTAAGAGTAAAGAAAAAATAAAATTATTTTTAAAATTTTCTGTTAAACATTTTATTTGATTGAAAACCTTGGAATATTAACGAATTTTTGTGCATTTTTTTTTTAACACATTAATTTTGAAAAATTGAAAAAAATAGAAATAATTGATTTGAAACAAACTATTCAGAAATGATGGAAATTATTATAAATATGTTATTTTTTTTTACCACCCCATAAAAATTAAAAAAAACTGTAAAAGTTTATGGACGAAAAATCATTATTTAATAAAAACACAAACTTTGAGGAAAGTAAATCAGGTTTCCTTTTTTTTTAACTGAAAATGCTCTTTTAACATACAAAACCCAATAAAACAAAAATACTATTTAATTTTAAATGCTTTTAGTTGCTTTTATTTGTTTTTTATCATTGTCTGAAGGCAAAAAACTTTTTCAATGAAAATGAATTTTTAAATGAGGTTTATTTAATAAATTATTTTATTATTTTTACATAAAGTTAGTAAAAGTTGTTAAATATTCTAAAATTAGCGGTCTGAATCCAAGGTATAATTTAAATAGAAAACAATCAACGAAACAGCAATGAGAATAATCTTTTTTTATATATGAAAAAAAAAAAATTTAAATCAAATGTCAGTAGGCCGGGAAGAAACATGATCCAATAAAAACAAATGACTTGATTTGTGGAAAATATATTTATATAAAATCTTTAAAAATTTTTAATTTTTTGAAAGGAATATTTTGCAAGACTTTAAGAAAAAAATGAACAAAAAATTTGCCATGTTATTTACTTATTTTTTTTCAAAAGCTAAAAACGTTCTAATAAAGACAGATAAAAATAATTACTTTGTTCTGTAAATAAAATTTGATTTTGTCAAGTTTAAGGCTGTTTTTTCTTTAAGAATAAGTTGGTAAAATAAATTTATATACTATAAAAAAATTCGTGATGAAAAATTCTTGTCATTTAAAATCAACACCGCAGTTGATCTGCTTTCTCCCATTTGAAAAAACATTTACAATTTGTTTGGTTACTAAATAAATAATTTTAATCTTTTTTAAATTAGTTAAAAAAAAAATGATAATTGATTTTTTAAATAAATTTTAATAATTCACTTTTGTAAAGAAATCAAAAACAAATTTTTTTCAAAAAAATTGAAGATTTTTGAAATTTTGGATGTGCTAGAAATTAAAAAATAAAAAAATATTCAAAAATACTTTGATCATTTCCTCTTGATAATAAAAACATTTTAAAATTATTTTAATCAAATTTAACCTTTTTATTCATGGTATGCTATTTTTTTATCGATCTCATGCACATAAAAACTGAGAAAAAAAAACAAGTGTCTTTTTTATATAAAAAAAAAAAAAAAGGAAAATATTTTCTGTAATTTTAAGGAAAAACTTTTTAGTCATTGTCTTATTTTCTGATAAATTGGATGGTTGGCCATACTTTAGAAAATGTTTTACATAAAAAAAAAAAAAAATTCTTTTAAAAATAATTGGCATTCTTTCCATTTGTGGTAAGTAAAAAGTTTTTTGACAATAATATAATTTAAACTTTGTTTGGGAATTTTTTCTTAATCATGACACGAAAAAAAAAGAAGAAAAAAAAAAAAAAAAAAAAACAAGGTTTTTAACAAAAATTTTGAATGTGTTAGAAAGGATTAAAAAATTTAATAAAATAATTAAAAAATAATTTGATCTTTCCTCTTAATAACAAAAATTTTGACAATAAAACTTTGTTTGGGGCCTTTTTTCATCATGGTATGTACTATTTTTAGCAAAAAGTAGAAGTACCTACTAAAAATGAATCCTTTGCTTTTTTAAGTACTTAAAATGCCTTTTTCTTTGTCTTTGAAATGTATCATTTTTTGGGTTAGTGTTTCACTTTCTTTTTTTGAGTGTTTACTTACTTCAGTTCTTTAATCTGCAATATTAATAACAAAATTTCCTTCTTTTAAATGAAAGCAACAAAAGTAGATTTCTGGCTGAAATGATCTTTTAATCATTTCATTTTAAAATTACCAACTAAATTCTATTTCAAAATTACTATCTCATTCTAAAAGTTCTTTAGATTATCAAACTCATTTTCTGTTTTTGTTGTTAGTGCAATGATACATCCTTCAGACAAACAATACCATTCTCAGTATATAGGGATCAGAATTGAATTTATTGTCTCCAGTTTAGCAAATAAAATCCTCACTGGTCAGATTTACTGTCTGATATCATAATATTGCTTGTCCCTATCAATTTTCTTTTTCCTGAAAAAGGCTGTAGTACACATCTGAAATGCTATGCTCACAATAAAAGCCACACATTAAATGAGTTTAATGCTCAAAACAATTCAAGAAATGATAATGACTTTTCTCAAAATTATAGACCAATTTTTTTTTTTTACTTTGTATAAATAAGAATTTTCTCAGATTTAAAGAAGCTACAAGCAGTATAGATGAAAATGAAAAAGGAAACCCGATTTCATTGACCATAATTTGTAATTTTACATTCTTAATAATTGTAATTAACCTTTTCACACTTGAAATAGAAAAAAAAACCCCAAAAAACATGCTTGACAAGTTTGGACAAAATGATTTTATCTCACTCTAATCAAACTCAATCTAAATAAAAGCTCACACTGATTTTAACTCACAGTGATCTTAAGGTGATCAATATCTCGGGCTTTGGTATTATCCAAACACAGCAATGTTATGACCATTCCTCCATCCAAGATTGAAGTTACAACTCCAATAACAATATCTTTCTTTTCAAGACTCTGCAAAAACAATACAATATGAATAATAATGTTTCACTAATATAAAAAAACAACAAAAAAAAAAACATTTACAAGTTTTATCACACAATAATATTAGAATACTATTTATTAAAAAACAACAAAAATTTACAAGTGAATATTTTACATAAAAATAGAACAGGTTAATTTTATTCAAAATATTTTCAATTCACTTTTCAATTGTATAGCACCACACCCATATTTAATTTTATAGCATCTTAAAGAGAAAACTAAAGCAGTTGTTTAATGACTTATAAGTTATGATCGGTTTTTATACACATCTACATTTGCAAGTGTGTTGTTATTCAAACTAAGAATAAAATATTTTACTTTTCAAACAATAGTAAACTAAAGAGATCAAAAGCAAATTGTTTTTGTATTCAACAAAGAAACAAATCTCTTTTCTTCAACCCCATAAAATGAGGAGTCGTCTATATAATGGTGAGTGATAGTTAAGCTTTCCATTTCATTATCAATGATATTCAGAATAATGAAATAGTCTGTTATTTTCTTGAGAGCAAAAAAGTTTTAAAACATTAGCACAGATATAAAGTTATAAAAAGGGAAAATTATACCAGAATTATATATTTTATATTTTCATGGTAATTGTCCTAACGAGCTTTCTTCTTTGATACCTCGACTTTATGAATTTAAGTGCAGTACTAGATTGGCAGCTAGGTCTCATTATTTTACAGTTGAAATGGCTAGATGTAGCTGTAAGTTTTATACTAACAGTTTGTTTTCTCACTTGTGGAACTCTCTTCTGGTTTCTTGCTTTCCAGTCAACTTTAACCTTCAAAAATTTAAATGAAATGTCAATCGTTACTTTAATTCCTGTTCTTTCATTATTCTCTCTCCTTAATTATGTTTTCTTTTCTCTTATTCTTTCAAACTCAGAAGTCCCTTTAGTGGTTTTATTATCTTGTGTGGAGGTGAAATGATTTTAAAAAAATAATTAGAATTTGTTTGTCAAAATCATCTTAAATACCTAACTTATTGGGTAATAATCAAAAATGCATATGTATATCCATTATAAAAATATAAGACTCATTGCTCACAAAGTGAGTGACACAGTATAAGATACAATTTTGGAGGTATGGCATAGGCCAGAAATATCTAGATTTTGGAACAACAGATAATGGAAGAATGAGAAGTTGGATATTGAGATTAATGCAGATTCAACTTACAGTGCAGTGCTGTTGCTGCTACATGAGGCTTTTGGAAGTCAAATTTCAAACCAGACATTTTATGTGCCAAAACACAAAGAATCCCAAGTGATGCACCTCTAAATATCTTGATGAGAAATTCCTAGCAGCTGATCTCTCCTCTGACCTAACTCTCAAAGCTCAATGGGGGAAAAGACTGGCTGGTCTCATTCAGTACATCCAAAACTAAACTCATAACATTTCATTACCACCAAGAAAACTCTAAAATCTACCATGAGTGGCGATACCTCCTAAAGAGGCTGCTTGCCTCAAATGCTTATTGGGTGTAAAAGCTCTCTTCCAACTTCAAATGAACATATATTTGTACAATTGCAAAAGATGCTTGAAGAATGGTCAGTTCTTGGTATTGCTACAAAAAATACTTAACTCTTTCTGCTATATCTGGGCTGGTCCCAAACCTTAATGTCCAGCCTCAACTGATTTAAGAAGTGCTTATACTGCCTTGTGGGTGATGAATTGTTCTCCACCCTGCAACCCTTATCCCACAAAAGGAAGGTTCCTAGCATCTCACTACTCTATTATTGCTATTGCAGATGTTCAGATGAGTTACATTCCTTTGTTCCACCAGAGCTCAGATCTTTACAGCTAGGAATTGCAAAGTATCCCCATTCACTTTGTGTTCATTTGATAAGGAGCAGGTTCCACTCAGCTTGTTCCTTAGATGTGTTATTTTGTGGAACAAACTCCTGAGAGGATGCTTCCCTGACAACTATAATCTTGGTCTCTTTAAGTCCAGAGTTAAATGATATCTATCCTACTCAACCTCCTAATATGCATTCCTTACTTCCTACTTGCTTTACAACAATCTCACTCAGTAAACTTCTACCTTGAGTGGCCCTTGGGCCACGTATTGAGTAAACAGTAAAACCAAAAAAAACAAAAACAAACTAAGATTTAAAAAGTTATTGTAGAGAACCAATGTCAGAATTAGTCTGTCTTTCACCTGTCAGTATTTGTCTTTACCTGATTTTCCCCCTAGAATTGAATCGCTATTGAGCGAGATGCACTAACCCCAACAATGGTATCGGGCATTGTCTCTAAATTAGACTCCCTTAAGGCTAGTGATGGGGACAGGATATCAGCCATTGTCCTGAAGAAATGTGCCCCTGAACTGGCTCCTGTCCTCTCCAAACTATATAACTACTGCCTCAACGACTCTTGCTTTCCAACCTGTTGAAAGTCCTCTTCTGTTGTCCCTGTCTTTAAGAACTCTGGATACCCTTCTGACCCATCTAACTACTGTCCTATAAGTCTCCTACCACTCTTTGGTAAAGTATTCAAGGCTTTAATCAATGCTGAAGTGATTAAACACCTTACATCCCATGATCTACTCTCTGACAAGCAATATTGTTTCCTCTTTGCCTAATCTACCACTGATGTTCTCACAGCTGTAACTGAATTTGTTTACCAAGAACTTCACAATAATGGAGAAGCTTGAGCCGTGGCTCTTGATATCTTTAAAGCGTTTGATAGGGTTTCGCATGCCAGCCTTCTTCATAAGCTTCAGGGATATGGAATTTCAGGACAATTACTTGACTTAATACAATCATTTCTGTCAAAACGTGAAATGAAGGTTGTTCTAAACAAGTTCTCCTCCAGTCCCTTTCTTACAAAGGCTGGTGTTCCCCAAGGCTCAATCCTGGGTCCTACACGGTTTCTGATCTTCATTAATAATCTTCATGTCATCAGTTCCCAAGTAGGCATCTTTGCAGATGGTAGTACTATTTACTCCTGCCTCAATAGGAAATCTGGTATTGCTGACGAAGCTAACCTGGCCGTGGTCTCGAAAAGGACCTCCAATCGGCGGTTGACTGGGGCAGGAAATGGCTGGTAAAATTTAATGCTTCAAAAACAAAACTGCTCTCATTTACCCACCACAGAGAAACTTCCCTGCCTCTCATTAGAATGTCTGATGCTCAACTCCACAAGAGCACCTCTCTGCGCCTGCTTGGTTTTGCACTGTCCGCTGACCTGAGATGGAACAAATACATTGAATCAATAGCTTCATCTACCACAAGGAAAGTTGGTTCTCTGTGTCACGCCAGAAAGTTTTTCTCAACCAAGTCCATCCTTCAAATCTACATATCAACCATTCACCCTTTAATAAAATACTGCTGCCATATATGGTCTGGAGCCAGATATGCAATGTGGTTGGTCCTGGTCTGGCATCATGACTACAGTCACTTTCCTCACAGACGTGCTGTCAGTTCCTTCTGTCTTTTATACAAGTACTTTCATGGTAACTGCTCCAATGAGCTATTTTCACTGGTTCCCAAACTGCATGAATTTAAGCGTGTTACTAGGTTAGCATCTTGGTCCCACCCTTTCACTGTCAAAACAGTTAAATGTAGCTGTCTCTTCTACTCCAATAACTTCATGTCTCACACTTCCAGTCTGTGGAACTCCCTTCTTCTTACTCGCTTCTCTGACAGTTATAGTCTTCAAATATTCAAATGTAATGTCAATCAATATCTTCTGATGCCTTGATCTAATTCCACATCTTTCTCTTTATCCTTTCCTCAATCACATCTCTTTAATCTTGCTCCCATTCTGTGTAACCCCTTGCATGCTAGTGGCACTCACTCCCACCTTGATTGGGGTGAAAAGCTTAAAAAATAAAAATAAAAATAATAGAAAGCTTGCACCAAGAGAACATTATCGGCACAATTAGCAATGTCTCAGAAGTTCAGATTTCATTCTCTAATCTCTGATTGGTTAAAATTAATCAATCAATAAATGCTGCCATCCCAGAGTTGACAAGTACAGAACTCCTCCTAATCACTTCTAGTTCTTAATCATAACAATCACTAAAACATTGCATAGGTAGGTGCCCATGTTTAACATGGTAAGTCTGATAGTGGTAGTGGGATGTTGTGTAAATCAATGAAATTATAGTGAGTATATTTTATCATAATGGAAAATCTATTAATTAGTTGGATTTGTTATAGTTCATCCAGTTTTACTGGAGTCACAGTAAAGTAATGGATTGTGGATTGGATTGAGGAATTGGAGAGCTGAGTTCAAATTCCAATTGAGTTCATTACATTCACTTATGTGCTAATACCTTTGGGAAAGGTATGAATGCAAATCTTCTCCCCTTAGCTATAGGTAAATAGTAGGACAGACTGGGTTCTTGAGCCTTGAGTGGCAAGTGGTCTAGAAGGAAAACTCTGAATTCAAAACTGTATATAGCCCTGGCAAAGCTCATACTATGCAGGTAAGGAAAGGATCATGTACATTGACCCAATGATTCGAACTACAGATGCTACAAAAGGAAAGGATTTATGACCCCTTTACTCTCCACTTTAGGTTTGGACACTCTTGCAATTTCCTCAACCTGCTTCTCTAAAAGATTATCTTAGTATCTTATCATAAAATTATATAATTATATAACACCAAAATAATTATAATCTGATTCAATACAATATATTGAGAAAACCAATCAAAAGATACTTACATCATAAAAATGGTTTTTACAATCATCAGGAGGTATTCCCATAAATGTTTCCAAAGGGGGTAGGATAGAATAATAATCTAGGAAATAATAAGAAATTCATTTAATACTTGTAAACAGAATGTATTAGAAATATACATGTTTATTTAATAGTTACTCTCCTGAAGTCAAATGATCAAAATTGATGCTGCATGCAAACATTTTATAATTTCAATATGAACCATTTTATATATTTCAAAACAATGAAATTGAAATAATTAGTTTTTATTTTATACCACAACTTCTGGAGCACATTTAAAACAGCTTTTTATTACAAAATTAAGAAAATTATGTTGATATGTTAATGACCATCATTGATAATATTTTACAGTATATATGAAGATATTCATATCTTACCATCTCCGGGATCATAAGTCTGATGTATATGTAAGGCTTTATTGGTATTTTCCTCTACATTACTAAAGAGTATATCTGCTTTTCTAGCAATGAAACGCTGAATACTGTTTGTAAATACTCGATCTCTGCAAAAAAAAAATAAATAAATTAAATCAACCTGTAACAAAAATTGTGTCTGTGTGTATGCCTATGTCTCTCTCTTGCAAGCTTGCATATATATATATATATATATATATATATATATATGCAAGCTTGGCCAATGATTCAAGGACAACCTTAAAGGAAACACTTAAAAAAAGCTTATCATAGATATAAGCATCTGGGAACATATTACATCAACAGACAGGCATGGAAAAATCTGATTGCTTTCAGTGTTGCTTTTTATAATCACTAAACTGAAGGGTGTTGAATTTCTAGAGTTTTCATAAAATTAGTTATGGGATGGGGTAATAAATATAAAAAAACACTTTTTGCTATGACTTTAAAAAAAAAAAAAAACAAAACATTTATAATAATGTTAATCATTTGTGAATAGTTTCTGAAAGTTTCATTAACATTCAACAATTATTTTTTATTTTTGCAAGATTTTTCAAATTAATGTCTGCCATACAAAAAAAAAACATGCTAGAATTTTGTTATTTAGTAGTTCTGCTGATACAAAGAGAAAACAAGCTTTTTTTAATCAAAAGTTAGAATGTTCTAAAAAGAAGGAAAATTTTTTAAAAATAATTAAAAAAATACTTTGTTCTTTCCTCTTAATAACAACATAAACATTTAGACGATAAAATTTTGTTTTCATCAAGTTTGGCGTCTTTTTCATCATGCTATGCTCTTTTTTAGTGATCTATGGAGGTACATTATATATATAAGTGTATGTGTGTGTGTACATGTTATGCATACATACATGGTTGAAGTCAAACAGTAAACATTTTATGGTTGGATTAGGATCTTTAACCTTGGTTGGCAGCCTTCCTAAGAAAAGGCAAGCTCTGAAGAATAAACCTATGTTTGTATATAAGTGTGTATATAGATGCATGGGGATGTAGAAATTCTCATCAGGACATCTTTCTAGGAGATGGAAATTCTGAGATAAAACCCGAGGTTCAGTTAGTTGCCGGTTGTTTCAACCTCTGTTGTGCCACTAGTATCATAATGATTGTTCTGAAAAGTGGGTTTAGTTATATGCAGAACTTTATCCACTTAAAACAAATCCATGCACAGGAATTTCTTGGACTCTTGGAACGTTTTATGGACATAAAACCATGTGGTGATAGGAGTGCAATGAACACATATAGACCTAACATGTATACATACACACAAATATGTGTGTGTGTATATATATATATATATATATATATATATATATATATATATATATATATATATATATATATATATATATATATATATATATATATATATATATATATATATATAAACAAATACACTTCTATATACGTATACACAAATATACCAATATGCCCACATCATCAGACAGTAACATGTAAAGGTAATAGTTGCTGGCATCACTGCACTTTGCTGTCATGAAAATGCCCAGATTTATGACATCTGGATACATCATTGTGTCCAGATGTCAGGCTGCTCTTCATTGCAAGGTAATGTTAATTATTGTGGTCTGAAATAGGGTATGATAATGAGTGCCAAACAGATGGGATATTCAATTTTTCTGAAATTGTAGGGACATCTTTCATACTTGATCTTCAGTGTATGAGAAATATCTGATGGAAGACATTACTGCCTATTGTGGACACTGCAATCCAGATATGGTGCAGATTCCATAAACACATGCAGGTTAGTGGCGGTTCCATAATGGTGTGGAGTCTGTTCACATGAGTTTAGAGGTTCACCTAAATATGTCTCTGACCAGTAATTGCACTACTTTGTGACTATTTTCACCCATTCATCAACTTTGTGTACTCCAACAATGATGGCTAATTTTGTTTTAAGGAAGATTCCAGAGATTTCTAACAAATGGTTTGGTCTCTATGCTCATCTGCTATCAGGCATTTATAGGACATGCTGGATAGTTGTATTTGTATACAAGATCCATACAAATATAAAAAAATTTGTGAACAGTTATTGAGTTGTGGCTTGGCTGAACATCGCTCCAGACATCTTCCAACCATTTGTTGAATTAGTGACATGTTAAGTTGCTGCACTATATCAGGCACATATCATATGACTTTTAGCATCTCAGCATATAATTCACACACTTAATGAATGTCAGTTTTGAACAAAAAGATGCAAATGCAAAATGTAACAAATCAGGATGAGAGAAATAATATAAAACAGGTGAACACAAGAACATTCTTTAACATTATTACAACACATCTATGTTGTAAGAATTTTCTTATGATAATTATAAAAACAAAGCAATTTTTATTCTTTTTACCTATTAAAACCTTTGTAGAGAGAGGAAAAGGCTTTGCAATATTTACATTTTCTTTTTGATATGTCTCAAATGAGTAAAATTAAAAATACATTACAAAAAAAAAAATATGTAATTATGCACATATATCACAAAAATAAATAAAATTGGCAAAATTGAAATACAGACTTTCATACCAACAAATTTTAAAGAAATTTAATCCATAGACTCATTGTTAAACAGATGCCAAAGAAAATATATTCAAGTTCTATTCTTTAATTTTTTCATAGGTACTTTTAAAAGAGTTATCCCACTTGTTAGTTATTGTTTATCTAGATTATAAGTGATAAAGTGAAAAGAAATTCCTTTCTTAAGGAAATTCCATATATAGTAATTACTCTATTAAAGGATTTTGAAAAAATTCTTCTTTGGAAAGAAATGTACATATAGACAAAATCTTGCTCACTAAAATAGTCTTCAATGTTATATATGTTTGATTAAAAATAACTGATAAGGAAAGTGCTCATCACAAATATTCAGGCAATATCTAGATTTACTCGGACACATTTGTATGTAAACAAGTCCCTTAAAACATTTAAAAAAACAAACACTTCTGCTTTTCTTACTCAAGTAGTTCTGAATAAATGAATTTTACTTTACTTCAATGGTTTAATGAACAGATTATGAAAATATTTTACCTGATTTCAGCCCGGTTTCTCAGTTGGTCTCTGTCAGGAGGACAAATCAGATTCCTCTCAAAATTTTGTCTTTCATAAATCAGATGATCAACTAAAGTGTTGCCATGGTAAATAACCGATCGGGTTAACTGGTGCCGATTCATGGTAACTGAAAAATTTAATTGTCAAAATTAAATATTTTTAAGGCTTATGACAAATACTGCTTTTTTTATTGCTTGATTATAAAATATATATACTTTTTCTTATTTTATTTAAAAAAAATATTAAAGATTTAGAAAACAAATTTTCATACATTTTTCAAAGTTTATTTCCAAAATTGTTGTTTCTGTTTTGATTCGGAAATGCAATTGAGACCAAGTAATATATTTTGATGATAACATTTTTTTTGAATGATAATAGTTGAATTATTTCAAAATTTACTCTTGAAGATCAATTCTTCATGTTTAGAAAATAAATTTCATTTATAGATAAGTATTATCACACAAAAACAGTCTCTCTCCCCACAAAAAAAATTAATTAAAAAAAAAGAAAAAAGAAAAAAAGAAATTGTAATTAAAATCTTTTAAAGATCTTTCTTTTTTCTTTTTTTTTTATAACTTAAAGTACGTTCATTTTTTGTGTTCTTTTGTTTAGTAACCAATTTCTAAATTATTTCTGCAGTTTTTATACTGGCACATATATACAAATGAAATTTACATTTTTTTTTTTTTTTTTTACTTAATTTGCAAAACATACATTCTATAAAAATAAATTCAATTTTTTAGTCTGATTTTTTAAATGGATTTCTAAACTCATACAAAATTAATAGAACCTTTTGTTTAGCTGTAAAAAGTACTTCTATTATTCAACATTTGAACAAACATTACAGCATTATGGGATGTTTTTAGAGTGAAACAAATTATACCTGAAAGTGTACATGAAATGCAGGTTTATTAACATCATTCATTCAAATTAGTCATCCTATTAGTCAATAATTTATGAACAGATAAGTTGTCATCTTTCAGGTAAAAGTTGTTCAATCATATATATAAGATTTTTAATGGATTTTTTTTTAACTTGCGATTTACATACAATACATTCTCCAACAATTTCTCAATAGGCACAACAGATGCTGAAATAAGAAACATTGTGAATTTATATGAAAAGTGGAATTTCATGTTTTAGTGCTTTTGAGGCCAGGTATTCTGTTGTTACAGAATTACACCAATTATCAGATGTCTACACAATGTACTTTAATATTTTTTATCTTCTTTCAAATATCTGATAAATTACAGATAATTTGCTTGAAAAACTTATTAAATTGGTCATAATATCCATCCTACTCTCCCTAGAATTGTCATTCATCACCTACATTTTTACTGGCTCATTTTCTGGGTATCTGGAGAACTACCTCGGACAGTTGCCCCCATTGTACAATTATCCCCATTAAGAGAAAATTAAGAGAAAGTACAACTTAAGGAGGGGGGGGGGAATAAATCCTAATAAAACTAATTAGGGTTTTATTTTCATGTTTTATCTGTTATCCAATAATAAGATTTATATTTTTATATCACTATAATTATATCAGTAAAATTGTGAATTGTGGACTATACACAAATACAATAATTACTAATTACATAGTTAATAACTGTCTGGTTAAACTAATATTTATAAAAAAAAAAAATAATAATTACAATAATCGATTCTTACATTTCATGTTATCCAATAATAAGATTTATATTTTTATAGCACTATAATTATACAACTAAAATTGCAAATTATGGTCAATATATCTCAAAAAGTCCAACAGATGGTGGTTCTCAAATTCTTGTATGATATTTGCTATTATGACGACTGAATCTTGATAATGTTTCTGTTTAGGCGGTGCTGAATGTCCTGCACGGACTGCCCTTTCCATTGTCTGAGTGCAGTTGTCATATAACACTTTTTCTGGTACTGATTATAAATAAAAAGTAATAATCGATTAAATTTTGATCTTGAAATTTAATTATAAAGTTATTCTTTTAAATAACATGATTGCACCAACTGCATAAAATAATTCAATGTTACATAACCTAGCAATATTGCTAAATATTTGGATTTATAAAATAAAACTGCACTTCCCTTATTAAAGTAACATTTGAAAGGAAGTAAAATCAAAACAACATACAAGAAATTCATATTTAAATGTACAAAGCCATTTTATCAAATCAAATCAGAAAAAGAAAAATAATTGTTTTTATTTAAGTCAGTTCAAAAGCCTTCACACATCATCTGCCAGGGTTATTGTTTATATTAATTATAATATAAATAAATTTCCTTGACTAAGAGAAAGAATAGATACATCAAACATATAGCCATGTAAAAAGGACAGGGTACAAAATCAAGCCATACAACAGTCAGGGCTGGATTTAGATAAAGAGAGGCCCTAACCTATTCCCCTTCAAATCCTCCCATTCTGACAAGAAGAGGAAAATGGAAGCGTGTTAAACAATTTGAGTAAAGTTGAAGATGATGACAGGTGTTTAAAATTCCACAGTTGACAATTCCTCCTCTAAAAGAAATAAGATGTTATTGTTAAATACAGTATGAGATTGAAAAATGCATGATTGTTAAAATTAAAAAAGAAATCTATACTAACATTGCGTTCTCGGCTTAAGACAGAATTATTCTGAAATGGAATGTAAGGAAAATTATTGAAGGTTTGTTAGTATCTATAGTGTGTTATGACAGCATGTGTAAGAAAGGCTTCTTACAGTGTCAAAAATATTATACACCTTGGCTGGAGGAACCCTAAATTTTGAGGCCCTAGGCTTCAGCCTGCTAAGCCTATAAGTAAAACCAGAACTGACAATAGTTATACCTTGCTCACCTCACAAACATCGAGATATCTGCTAATTCAGTATTAACTGTCAATCTTTCAGCATGAAAAAAGAATTATTACAATGACATGAACACAAGCTTCATCATATAAATACACAAAGATAATTGCAGAATCATAACACAACAGTATTAAAACCTGATTAGTTAGATAAAGATTATTATCGACTAATACTCTCATAAGAGTATGGGAAGGATCCCCTATCTTCACAGTTCATGTGGTTGATGAGACTGAAAGTGGCTTGTAAGGCCAATTCATGCCTGCAATTGTCATGGGCAATGAGGGTAGGCAATTGCTCTAGGAGGATAGAGTGTCTCTTGATTCTCTTATCGAATATAGTTCTTTGTGACATCCTGGTTGTTCTTCCAGCTATCCTTGTGGTCCATAGCTATTGAGCTTTTTACTGTTCAAACTTTAAACTGACAAGAAAAATGTTATGCTGGCTGTTTCTGGACATTCAGTCTTCTTTCTTTGAAAACAACAAATAAGGGTCATACTTGGATCTTAACATTTAATTTCAGCAATTTTCTTTACGAGTTTCCACTTGACAGCAAATGACAATCACTGAAAGGATCAATAGACATGCTGTTTGTTCTGTTCAATAGATTAATAGAATATTATATATATATATATATATATATATATATATATATATAATTATTTATTTAAAAATATGATTCCTTCGCTACATAAGAGTTCTCATGTTTCAGAAACAAGAGCTGAAAACTTCAATATAATTATTAGAATTGAATTAATATACCAAGCTGTTTCATCTTCAAGCAAAATTTTTGGAATAACTAATCTTGAAATTTACGCGTCTTTATAAACATATTCATTATTAAAATTAAATTACTATGGAAACGGCTAGAGCAATTGTTTAAATAAGGGGGCATAAGGGTTCATAATTTGTATCAATATCTCGGTTACTTTCAGAAAGAGGTCAAGTCAAGGTAGGGTTGGGGTGTCTAAATTAAAGCGGAAGGTGACATTTAAACTCATACTGATTAGTCTGGTTCACATAAAGTGTCTATGGAGATTTATTTATTTTTGTATTTTTTTCTAAAAGGCTTATGTGTATATAAAAGTGTCACATTGAGCTACAATTTGTTTTTTTAACGACTTTGTCAAGGGTTGTTTTTTTCTTAATGATTGGGTTGAGCTTTTAAACTTTTTATTTAAACTATGGAATTTAAGATTTGTATTTATTATTTAATTGTTTGTTTTTTTATTCAAATTATTTAATGCGAAAATTTGATGATGTCAGCAAAAAGTTGTTAACTCATGTCTATTGTTTAATGAATTTCCATTATTTAGAAACTTAACAATCTATAGTTTTTCATGTAGGCATAAAGGGCATGGGTCATCCCAGGTTTAACAAGTTCTTGTTCTATTTATAATTTTCCATTTTACTTTTGGTGTTTTATTCATTTCTTTTAAATGCCAAAAAATATTTAGATAGGGATATCTGATTTATATATATATATATATATATATATATATATATATATATATATATATATAAGATTAGGAAAAATCCATGTGCAAATCACTACCCAGGTTTCAACCTTATGGTCTCGTTGTGAGGTAATGTCAAAATGTAGATATACAGTACTATGAGCCAGTATGAGCCTGGATGAACAAAATTCTTCCCTCAAAATTTGACTTTAAAAAAAATAAATCACTATCTCAAGATAGGCAAATGGATTGTGGTCACCAGTATCTGCATAGCTATTTGCCAGAATTATCCCAGAAGTAAATGTGCAGTAGATAGCAGATAATACAGTACATGTTTCTTTTTTCTACGGGTTACCCAATACAAGGCATGAGAACCACTCAAGATAGAGTTACTGTTAAAATGGTCATGAGGAACAAGGTGTGTGATATGAATGAAAAATAAGGTGGCAGAAAGTGAAATTATGAAAATAAGGATAATGATTGACTTTTGACTTGAAGAGATTAAATTCGTACTTTTCAGGGGAGCAGCCATACAGGAGTCTGTTCCATAAAGTAGCAGTCCTTGTAAAAACAAAAACAAAAAAACTATCTGCATGGAACATTCTCCTTATATTTGGAATACAGAGGAAATAAGGGTGATTCACCTCAATGGAAGTAGCATGGTAGGCCCTAGCTGTTAAAGATCTAAACTGGAAAAGCTAAAAAATGGAGCACCCCTGAACAGTTGCCATGGAAATAGTGATAGGTTTGCAACATTGCATCTATGGGGAAAGAGGTTGTAGAATGGAAAATAAGCCTTCTGCCAAAAGTTTGCATAAACAATTTTGAACTCA